CCCCCCGCGTCCTTCTCAGTCCAGGGGTGGGGGTGGGGGGTGGCGAGGACCTGCGTTCATTTTGCAGCTGGAAACGCTGGGCTGTAGAAAAGCATAAAAGGCACTGGAGGTTAGATGTCATGAGAGATGGTTTTCTTCTGCCGTTAATTTCGGGCCCTCAGCCAGCCTCCCGGGTGGTTCTTCACTTGGGGCAAAGGTGTCTGCGTCAAGGAGACGCCCTGCCCCAGAGCTTAGTCTTGGGTCCAGCTTGCTCACTGTGTTTGCCGCAGAGGCCATCACTGTCTGGCCTTGAACTTCCAGGAGTCGTGGCCTCCCTGCAGGCGTCTCAGCTGGTGGTCTGCCTCACCCTGACGCGTCTGAATAGATGGGGCAGCAGAGCCCCGGAGGGCACCTCCTTTCCTGAGAGAGGGCGTCCAGCTCAGCTGCAGCGAGGCCCGGTCGGGAATCACCCTGTGCCTTTGGGTTCCTGGCCTAGATGGACTCAGAGGAAGCCCCGGGTTCCATGGCTCTCGGGGAGGATCATGGCAGCGTCCATCCAAGGGACTGTCCCCTCAAGACCATCCCAGTGACACAGGCCTGGGCTGCCTAATGTGGGACCAGCCTTATGCTGCCTGGGCCTGGATGCTGTGGTCAGCACGGCCCTTGGGGTCAGGCCAGGGGAGGGCAGCCCTGAAGTGTGGCTTCAGACCCAGCTGGGGTTCTCTCCAGCTAGAGCTAGGTTTGTCCAAGCAGGAGTCACGAGCACAAGGGGGCGGGGGGACCCCGGGTGCAGTGGGTGCACTCAAATTCAGCCCTTTTCAAAACCCCAGCCTGGTTGTGTTTAAGCTTCTGCTGCAGGATTGGTCAGGGTGGCACCTGTGTATCGCTGGTGTCGGTCCTGTCTGTTGTGCCTGGTGGCCAAAGGGTTGCAACCTGGTGCGGTGACCTCTTCATGCAGGGGACCCTCTCTGTGTCCCCAACAAGATGCAGGGAGCATTGCAGAGCCAGATGCCCTTAGAGCCCTGGCTGTCCCAGGTGGGGGTGAGATGAGTGGTGAGAGATGGGCCCAGAGATGTGACTGCCCACACCTGTGGCAGACACCTGGGCAGGCAGAGCAGCCTGGGCCCCTCCTGCCTCTGCCTTTCTTTGACCCTTACTGTCCCATCCCTGTTCACGGGGGGAGGTGCAGAGCCTCACCCAGCACCGACCGTCAGCCCATCAGCAGGGCCAGGCAGCCTCGACTGGGGACGCTGGGAGACAGGTGGTATCTCATTTGTACCAGTGGAATTTCGATGTATGGAGGTGACCGATGACATGGAGAGGTCAATACCATTCAAAGAAGAATTTATTACTTATGTTTCCCAAAGAAAAGGGGCATTTCATGTCACTTAGGGCCATGTGGGGAAGCACCAGGTTTGGTCAGAGGCAGAAAGGGGCAGGGGGAGGTCTAGGCCAGAGCCTTACTAATGTTTCCATGGGCCATGCAAGGCAGGGCAGGCTAAACTGCCATAGTATTGGCTACTTTAAATAATCCCGGCAGCCTTGGGGGCCTGGGGACTGTCCAGGTTGCCTGGTTCCTGCCCTGAATGGATTTAGGGGATGGGGGATGCTCGTGTGATGTATCAGAGCTAGGTACTGAGGGGTTCAGGGCGTGGGCTCTGGATCTCAGGGGAGATGTAAACAGTGCTGGCAGGTAGTTTGGCTCTATAGTGAATGTGAGTGAAACAGACAAGCCCAGGATCGAAGGAAGCGCAGAACGGGTGGGTGAGGGGAGCCCAGTCGTTGCAGCAGCATTTCTGTGTTCCGCCTTTAAATGTCACAAAGCAAGAAAAAAAATCTTTCTTCATTACGTGGGCACCTTAATCACGATTGCTCACTGTTCTCTCAGTTGAGATTTTAGCAAATGAGAGGTTCCTCAGGGCACAGCAAGGAAGCTCCCGGGACGGTGGGAACAGCCCCGTGTGTCTTTTTCCAGATGGCTCTACATTTCCAAAGGGCTGGTTATCACAGTGATCATGGACATTTGACAGAGACCCTATGTGCATAGTTGATTTAAAAAAATAAAATAAAAAATCCCACAACAGCATATCCACACTGAATACACTAGATTTTGGGGCATCATTAGAAATATCTGTGTTCACTGCACAGTAGAACGTAGGTGCAGGGGCCTCAGGCTGCCCGAGTCTGTGTGTGGCCTGCAGATGGCCTGTGCTGCTGTGTGACCTCAGGCGAGTTACTTCCTTAACGAATTAGAACACCTTTTCTTTGTTAATAAATCAGGAAAGTTAAACCACATAATCTCGAAGGCTCCTTCCAGTTCCAAACTTTATGACTCTGGGAATCTAGTTGTTTAAATAATAATAATAATAGTGATAAACCAACCCTCTTCACTATACCCTTGACCTGTTATTTCTTTCATACAAAAGTAGAAGTGCTGGGTAGCCAAGCCGGTGGTTCTGGCTGTGGGCAGCGGGGTTTAACTGTGTTTGGAAATGGTTAAGGGGCCCTCGAGATCCAAACCAGACGCCCACTAACCTCTTGCTCCCTTGAAGGGTCCCTCTGCTTTGCAAACATGGCGATCGCCATGCTGGAGCCGGCCCTGCCCATCTGGATGATGGAGACCATGTGTTCCCGCAAGTGGCAGCTGGGTAAGGACTGGGCCGGGCTCTCCTGGTTCTAGAACTTTCGTCCCCAGGGCGGGTCTCATCCCTGTGGCCCTGCCGAGCTGCAGGTGCCAGAGCAACAAAGCAAGTGACTGTTTCTGTCTGACACTCTGGGGCCAATGCCTTGGTTTCTGCCGAAGACGAGGCGCTTTATTGCTAACACCGGAAGCCGTTTCTCCCCATCTCCTTCCTCTCCAGCTCCTGTGGTGCTTCAGGCCTCCAGGTGTTTCCAGGAGGTGCCCATTGTGCGGCCCACGGCTGGGAGAATCCCTAGCTGGCCTTGCAGCTTCTTGGGCTGAGCTGCTTTGCTGCCATTTGGATGTCTTGGCTTTAACTGAGTCACTGCCCTGATTGAATGCACCAGACCCTCTGCAGCCACTTACGCTGCTCCCCCCCCTTCCTCGGCAGACACAGCCTGAGGCTTTCTTTATAAAGTCTTTGTAGTTAGAGGCCCTGGGCCTTCGGACTAGATTGCAGGCCGCCTGGTTTCCTCGGGAGAGCCCCAGGTGGGGCTCCTCCCCCAAGCCCTATGGTCCCCCTTCCACCAGTGAGGCCACCCCTCCCTCGCCCCAGAGAGAGACCTGGGTTGTTTAAGAGAATCACTTTTCTACACCTGTCCCGTGTCGTTGGCAGTGTGGTCTCTGTAGCATGTGCCCACCTCTGCCAGCGCCTCTCAGGCCCCTCTGAACTGTGGGTGACACAGTTCAAGGACATCCCCCTGAGGCGAGGACCCAGTGCACAGCCCTTCCCCAGAGGCCCCGGCAGCTCAGCCCCTCCCCGGCCAGGGTCCTGTGGGGGCTCAGGGGACGCCGTCTGCCCTGATGCTTCCCCGATCCTTTTTGGAGAAAGACGGTAAGATTGGAAATCAGAGCAGAGCAATTTCGTGAGCCTCATGGGTGACACATGCTGGCTCGTGCTGAACGCTCCTAGAACCAGTCACGATGAGCCCTGATGGCTGGAAGGCTCAGCCTCCTGGAGGTGCCACGGCTCCCGTTAGGCTCAGGAGAAAGGCCAGTGTGTCCTGGGAGCGGCAAGACGAGAGCGGCCCAGGCCCTGTGCATTTTGAGTGCAGCAGGCACCTAATTTTTTATTTTTTTTTTACCCTCACCCGAGGATTTGTTTTTATTGATTTTCGGGAGAGGAAGAAAGAGGGAGAGAGAGAGAAAAAAAACCCCACAGTGATGTAAGAGAGAAACACTGAGCAGCCGCCTCCTGCAGGCACCCAGACCGGGGACTGAACCCTCAGCCCGGGCATGCGCCCCGACCGGGAATCGAACTGTGACCTCCTGGTTCACGGGTCAGTGCTCAACTACTGAGCAACACCCGGGCTGGGCTTTAACTTTTATTTTTTTCCTTATGTTTACGTTCCCTAATTTTCTCCATGCCTATTGTCCTACCGGATAACAGAGGGGGAGGGGGTGGGCACAGAGCCACACGGGCCTGTGGGACAGCAGGTGCCCTGCTCGGACACTCGGGCGCTGCCGGTGGCTGTCCACGCGGAAAGCTCCCCCCAGGCAGAGATGGGCCAAGATGAAGGGGCCGATAGGGAAACGAGTTTCACGTCTGGAGAGTCTCCGCCGCCCTGAGCGTGGACGCGCCGTGTGGGGTCCGGCCTGGCTCCGCAGCCACCGGATATTAGCTGCTCGGGTGCTGGCCCCAGGGCTCCGTCTCCTCGGCTCTCATCGCCACCGTGGGGTCTCTGATGATTAGTTTTCCTAACGGCTGGCGGATATCAGCACTGATAAGGTGTCCTTTTCATAAATTTACAGGCGTCGCTTTCTTGCCAGCTAGTATTTCTTATCTCATTGGAACCAATATTTTTGGGATACTCGCCCACAAAATGGGGAGGTAAGCTGAAAACAACGCTCTCTTCTAATAATGTCATTCTTTAGAAGAATGCTCTGTGTTCCTGCCTTAGCTGTTACAAGCGATTGTTTTGATTTCCATTGAAAATTTGGACGGGGGCGGGGGAGAAGGGACATTTATTGACGGCGTGTTTTTGTTTTCGTTTCGTAGGTGGCTGTGTGCCCTCACAGGAATGATCGTTGTTGGGATCAGCATTTTATGTGTGAGTAAAAGACAACATTTAACAAGGGGAAACGGCCTGTAAATAGGACTTTTGCTTTGGGCAGGATTCACCAAGAAATTTTCTTTTGCAGTTTGAAGCGTGTTAATAATGAGTTTAATTACATCTTTCCTTTTCTTCCAATTTTTTAGCATCTTAAAATTTTTGGACAAGACTCTCCAAGGGATGTATTTTCATTTGATGTCAGTTGGAAGTTACCGACAATGTTTTATTATATATATTTCACCCCCTCACCCCCACCATCTTAAACATTACAATGTCTTAAACACTTAGGGTGACTGCCCTGAAATAATAGCAAGATGTTTTTCCTAGAATAAAATGCCTTCTTCCAATGGCCAATGTTTACCCCAGATGAGGCCTTTGGGTCCTTGTCAGAAATGGCACGTGGACCAGGCTGGTCTTTCGCATCCGGGAGTTGACCAGGTTTTCGTGGTGCTTACAAACCCCGTTTCCGCCTCAACCGGAACGACTTGGAGGGTCTGGTCCTCCCCAAGCCCACCCTCCTTCCTCCTGTTCCCTTCAGAAGCGAACACCCATACCCAGCTGGAGAAAACACACTTTTAAGACTTTCCAAGATGACCTAGAGTCGGCTATCATGCTATTTTGGCATAACGTTTATTTCCTCTCACAGGTTCCTTTTGCAAAAAACATCTATGGGCTCATTGTTCCCAACTTCGGAGTTGGGTTTGCAATTGGTAAGTCACGCGAGCCTGGTGCCCAAACTTAAAGCCGTTCGCCCCATTGCTGAGAAAGGTTTCCTCGGGCCAGGGCAGACCATAATTACCGAACTTGAGTTTCTGGAAGCTTGAGAGGAGGCCGTGGGCAGCCGAGCTCCGGTACAGCCTGGAGATTGTCCGCAGGAAAACGCCTGCTTCCACGCTCCGCTCGTTTGGCTCCCGAAAGCTGGCCCTTTCAAAAGCCCGCTATTTGCCAATGCCAGCCGGCGCGCCCGTGCCATGCCCGGCAAAGGAGCGAGCCCCCCGCGCGGAGCGGCCGCGCTCAGACCCGCCAGCCGACCTGCTCCGATGAGGCCGGGGGACCAAGGCGTCGCGTGTTTTTCATAAGGGTTGGTCCAGAGAGGGTGGGCTGGTGTAGTGGCGACCACCTGTGCCCGGGACCTTCACGGACGGAGGAGATGAGCCTTTGTAACGTGAGGAACAATCGGTTAATAGTTTGGGTGAACGGTACACGTGTGTGTCTCACTTAGAACATGCGGCTTGATCATGATACAAGCAAATGCTGAGTCTGCCGCAGGCAGAGGCAGGAATTTAATCTTTGGTCCAGTAGAAAGAAAGAATGGCGCCTCGGGCGACCCCTCGGGCCGGGGTAGGTCCCCCGAGCGGGTCCAGGTCCTCTCACGAGCCCTCGTAGCGTCGGTCACGATTGTGATTCGACTCTTCGCTTAACGCCCAGCTGTTTTGCCCTCCCGTGTCTCCACGCCTTGCACATATTCGGCGATCGGCAAATAACTGGTTGAAGGGAAGAAATTGCTGTCATCCTCCCGCCCCTGGGACCTGGGGAGGTGAGGGGACCGACGCTCGAGAGAACCTAGCTCACCCAGCCGGGGATTTGAACCCACAACTCTGAACACGTGCTCTTCCTCTATGCTTCCTGCCCCTGACTAGTCAAGAGACCGGAAACTACCACGTTGACTTTAGTTTCCTGAGTAGGGCCAGATGGTTCTGGTTCCTTCTGATCTTTCCGACTGTGTGAGGCCAAGGTGTGCGTGTGGGTGTGTCCACTGGTTGAGGGAGACGACGGGTGTTCCAGAAACTGATGCATTGGGGGGCAGGCTAGGGGTCCACACGGCCAGTAACCAGCAACCCGCTGGACCCGCAGAATGCAGGGGAGTCACCACCCCGTCGGCGGACAGGCCATCCAGACAGGACAAGGTGAGGCAAGGCGGGGAACAGGCAGATGGCGGCCCGGGGTCCAGCCACAGCCTCAGCTCCCGTCCATCGGCCTTCAGCGAGAGGCGTGCTGTAGGGAGTCCGCTCAGGTGGGGGGACAGAAGGGGCGGAGGCAGCAGGGCTGTGAGGTTAGGACACGGTCCTGACATTCGTCCCGTTTTCAGTTCACAACAGTTTCCCATAGACCGTGTCCCCTGACTCCGCAGGCATGGTGGACTCGTCGATGATGCCCATCATGGGCTACCTGGTAGACCTGCGGCACGTGTCCGTCTACGGGAGTGTGTACGCCATCGCCGACGTGGCCTTTTGCATGGGATACGCCCTAGGTAAGGACGCCGGCTCCGCCGAACAAGCTCTTACCTCCGCGCAGGACAGAGAACGCGTCCCGCAAGTGATTTAAACCTTCGCATCTTTTTGCGTGCGAGACATCTGCAGAGAGCGTTATCTAATTCTCTGTTTCCTGAAAGGTCCTTCCGCTGGCGGGGCTATCGCGAAGGCAATTGGATTTCCGTGGCTCATGAGAATTATTGGAATAATTGATATTCTTTTTGCTCCTCTCTGCTTTTTTCTTCGAAGTCCACCTGCCAAGGAAGAAAAAATGGTAAGGCGAATTTAGGATGTATCGAAGTGTTTCTTGGTCACTGTAGCACGGTCTTTGGGATGGTTTCTTAATTCTAAAATGTATCCCTGCTCCTTTCTGGCAGAAGTCTCCGAACATCAATGGTAAGAGTTGCCCTTTGAGTTTACATTACACAGGGCAGCTACTTCTTTTACTGTATCCAGCATTATGTTTACAAATTTGAAGAGGAAAATTATTTTGGTACATAGATTAGCAGTCGGTAAGCTCTTTTGTCAATGAAAAGTAAACATGGGGTAGTTTAATTTTCTGTGCTTCTTGAAAATCTTAAATAGATGTATATTTTTGCCTCCTGCACTTACTCCTAAGATTAGCCATTTCTGGTGCTGTTTGCCTTTCCCCTCGCAACTTCCAGTAATGATGTCTTAGTCATTACTGCCCAAGATTCTGGAGGTGGTTTGAGTGTAGCTAACAGACCCTATGGAAAAATATCGGATATGCAGCTTTGGGCACACGTGAGCATGTGTAACGTTGAAATTCATAGTTTCCTGGCCAGGGTCATATCTGTAGGCAAGACAGAGTATAAAGTGTTCCTCTTCTGAACAAGTTCCAGCTTAGCGATTCTGAATTTGAATTTTGAAATGCGTGAGTCATTTTAACTTTCCTGATAAGCTCTCATAGCAGGAGGGGGTGGGTGTTGCTGATTTTTTAAAACATCAAATGGTGATAGATACCCATCCGGCTAAAAGAAGAGGGCCTCAGATTCGGAATGGGCGAGAGAAAGCAGGCAGGGGAGGTGGCACCTTTGGTTCGTGAATGGACGTGAGGTTCGCCTGCGAGGTGCTCCGGGGATACAGCCCAGGTTCTTTCTGCCGATTGAACTGAAGTGGGTCTCGAAGCTTTGGCGATTCTTGAACTGCCCTTTTATGATTTCCCCCAAATAGTGGATTTAAAGACAGATGTGGACCCTGAAGTTAGGCGACACGCAGCCTTCGTTACTTTTGAGCTTTTTTGGCATTTATTCATTTGTTCACTATATCTGAAAAATAGATCCAGCACTGCATGCTTTATTATGTGGGATTCACCCGGTCATTTTGATTTACTCAGTACCCTTTAGACTCAAAGAAGGGGCGTGGAAGGTGCTGTGGGAGCTTTCCCGCGGAAGCTGCCCCTTGTCCCTGCCTCCTGCCCGGGTCGCGGCCCCTCCGTGGCGCCCCACTGTGCGTCTCTCGGGGACTTACCTGTTCCTGCCTGGCCGTGTAAGGCCCTTTCCCTCTCGGTTTGCCTGACCCCAGCACACCGCCCTGCCCGAATCAGGGTCAGAAAATTCTCGGTGCGACAACTGGAAACGGTCATCCGGTCGCCGCCGCGTCACCTTGATTAGGGCGAATCGCCCACAAATGCCTCTGTCCCCCGGGAGACTGTTCAAGACTCTCGGGAGACAGCGGAGGGCTGGCGCGGGCCCCGGAGCAGGACTGTCACGTGGGGACCCGCGACAGCGGCCTCGTAGGGCTGTTGGGGGCATTGAATGAGAGGATCGCAACAGCGAGCTCAGCCCAAGCCTGGTGCGTGAGAAGTGCTGGGTAGAGCTCTGTCTGCCCGGCGCCCCTCCCGCCTCACCCT